TGTTTCCAGTTCCTATCTGTACCAGTGTACATCCTCTGGTCTAGCCAGACTTCCAAGGTAGAATTGGGATCATGATAGTTGGGGGTGAGGGGGAGGAAGCATTTAGGAGCTAGAGAAAAGTTGTATTTTTCATCGTTGGGTAGCCACTATTAACATATAGACCCTCCTGTACCTGGAGCCTTTAAATGGGTAGGTATTGCTGTAAAGTAGGTGGTGGTTGTTCGCTGCCATTGAGTTGCCTCTGGCTCATGAGGACTCCGGTGCAACAGAACAAAGCACTACCTACATCATTCTCACAAGTGCCAGTGTATAGAAGTGCATCTTACTGAAAGTCTCTCACACCTGCTTCACTCAATATGATGTCTTCCTCTTACCATTGATTGTTTTCTCCTGATGATGTCTATGAAACCATTGAATCAGACAGTGTTCTGTTTTGATCCATAAAGGGTTCTTAGGCTAATTTTCAGAAGTAGATCTCTGGGCCTTTCCTCCTAGCCTGTGTTAGTCTGGAAGCTGTACTGAGACCTCTCCACCATGGAGGACCCCACTGGTATTTGAAAAGCCAGTGGCAGTAGTGTTCAGCATCTTCACAACAGGCATGCCACCAGCAAGCAGACCTATAGATGGACGGTGGTGTAATGAGTTTTAACAGTTGCCATTGTTCTCCTGTCATTATGCTCTAAAGAACCGATGGATTACCTAGTTAGAACTCCGGCAGAAACACTTTTCTCATAGTAGAGGAGGCTAAAGAAGAGGTTAAGGAACAAAACCAGCAACATTTGTTTTGAAATGAAAAGTTAAAATGGGACTTAAGCTTCATTTGTTGGGAAATGAACTTTGGTCTTATAAATATAGTTAAGCATACAAACATCTAAGCAACTTGGTTACTTTGCCAGGAAAGCAAAACTTTTTGGCTAGTGTATCCCAAAGAAAACATTTGTAATGGCCACATTCTTGAGCATTGTCCAGCATTTGACTGCATCCAAATAATAGAGTACACATACCTGTCCCTTTAGAGCTGGTGTCCTGTTTGCCCAGGGGTTGTGTGCTTGAGTACTAACTAAAAGATTGGCACTTTGAACCCTCCATGGGAGAAGAATATAGCTTCCATAAAAACAGTGTTGCAAACTCTCTGAGGGCAGTTCTGCACCGTCACTGAGTCCTAATAAACTCTGTTGGGGCCTATTTTGAGGAATCCGTTTTGAGGTAGGCTGCAGTGAAGGCAAGCCAGAAAAACCCACTGCTGTTGAGTGTATTCCAACTCATAGAGCCGCTAGGATGATGGAGGCCGTTTCCTTCAAAAGACTGTTGTAAAGGACATACTTTGAGTAATTTGATGAGATGTTCCTATTACGAGGGAACAAAGGTGGATTTAGTTTTTTCTTGTTGCCGTGTTTTGTATTAAGTAGCTTCCTCAAATGTCTGTTTCTATTTAGTGGTGCATATGTGAGAGCAGGGAACCCCAAAGCCGAGCCACTGAGTATCTCAAGCCTGCATGGGAAGGCCCAGAGCAGGACTCGAAGTTAGGTCAATGGTTGGTTCTCAGAGCGTGAGCTTTTGATGAGCAGTGTTACCAGCACCTGGGAACTTACAATGCAAATTCTTGGGCCTCACGCCAGAGCTAATGAATCAAAACTGAGAGCATGGCTCAGCAGATAATTCTAATAACATTAAAGTGCGAGAGTTACTGTGGTAGATGAATGCTGTGGAGGCCAATAGAGCTGGGACGGAACCAGAGGGGGAATTCCATAAGATGTCACGAGAGAGTTTGCCAGGGCTTAGAGCATTTGATAGCTACTGTAAGGTCTTTGCCTGTCATACTGTGAGAAAGGATGCAGTGGAAGGTTGAAAATAGTGGAGTCATGGGACCCATAGATATTTTCTGGCCATTGTGCTGAGTGAGGCCTAGAGAGGGTCAAGGACTGAAGCAAGGGGAGCAGTTGAGTGTCTTGCAATAGTAAAGCCAGAGGATGATGTTGGCGTCCATCAGGGATGTAGCCACCAATTTAGTGGAGGGAGGTACTTTGATTCGGGAACTAATTTTAAGAGTGAACAGACAGAATTGGCTCATGGATTAGATGAAATAAATGAACAGGAACAATCAGGTTTTTAAAAATTTAAACCACATTATTGACCAAGGAACCCTGGTGGTGTAGTGTTACTTGTTGGGCTGCTAACCACAAGGTCAGCAGTTCAAAATCATTAGCTGCTCCGAGGGAGAAAGATGAGGTTTCCTGTTCTTGTAAAGCAGGGGTCTTCAAACTTTTTAAACAGGGGGCCAGTTCACTGTCCCTCAGACCCGTTGGAGGGCTGGACTATAGTTTTGAAAAACTATGAACACATTCCTATGCACACTGCACATATCTTATTTTGAAGTAAAAAAACAAAAGGGGGAAAAACACCTGGCGGGTCGGATAAATGTCCTCGGCAGGCCACATGTGGCCCGCGGGGCCGTAGTTTGAGGACCCCTGCTGTAAAGAGTTAGTCTCCGAAATCCACAAGGGCAGCTATACTCTGTCCTCTAAGGTTGCTGTGAGCCGGAATGGACTCAATGGCAGTGAGTCTGGTTTGGGTTTGGTGTTGGCCAAACATAGCACATCTTCAGTCTCTGGCCATACCCTTTCTAGTGCCTCTGTCAAAATGCTGTATTTTCTACACAGCAGGTCTTCATCAGAGCATGGCTGCACTATATAACCTTCCGAGTACTTGGCTTTCTCTAGCTGAACACTGCCAGATCCCCTCCTCTCCTAAAGTAGAACTGTCAAAAGCCTTTAGACAGAACACCTGTGCTTCACCCTCTCAACTTCTGAAAAACCTTGGGCTACTAGATAGTGGGGTGCTTATCCCACCTTCTCAGAAGGAGGCAAGAAAGGTCGTTTTTCATTTCTCTCCCCTTTACTTCTGTGCATGCCCATATCATACCTAGCCTCTCTAATGAGGTTCATTTTGGTCTACATTTTTATTCAGGTTTAAAAAAATGTTTTTAATTTGATTTCTAAAAGTCTTTGCTTTGTACAGTGTTATCCTATGGAGTTATTTTTTTGAAATCCATTGCACATCAGACACTGTTTTCACTTGCTATTATCTTGGAGGCTTCCAGCTCTTACATCAATTATAAAAAGGGATGACTTGAATTTGTTGGACTAAATGGGAGTATAAGGTTCCTCTGTTAGTCTGGGCTAATTTGATCAGGAAAACAGAAAGTCATTAAGGAATACTCTTGGGTGGGAGAAGTCGAGGGAGCAGACACCTGTGGTGAGAGACCCCAGAAGCAGTCTGAAGAAGCACTGTCTGGCCACCAAGAATTCCCCCACGTAATAGCCCCTGCTTACCTTCTGCCTTCCAGACTTTGTCCAGATTCCTCTCACTAACAGGCTGCCACCTGCAGCTATCCAGGGAAGGCGATTTTGGGGAATCGTAGCACCAGGTCTCAGAAGAGACTGATGGTATTGCTTCCCAGTGAACCATCTAAAGTTGTATATTATCTATGTCGCCCTCATTTACGTCATTACTCCCATCTAGCTTGATCTTTTCATAGACCCTAAGCCTAAGGGGCCCAGGTGACCCATGAGTTAAGCCCTCAGCTGTTAGCCAACAGGTTAGTGGTGGGCACTCACGCAGCCTCTCGATAGCAGAAAGATCTGTCAGTCTGCTCCCATAAGGATGGTGGGCTGGGGAATCCTAGGGGAAAGATCAACTCCGTCTCGGGGCCAGTATGAGCTGAAAGTCGACTTGATGGCACCCCCCCACATTTACGTTATGTCTCCATTGTCCATCGTAGCCTTGTCCCTGCGACCGTTTTAGATTGCTTCCCGTTGCTTAGCCATCTCTCTAGAAGTTATATTGCTCTCATCCCTGGTGCTTCAACTTTAAACTGGAGATAGTTTACTTTTTAACATTGCCTGTGTCTCATTGCTCACTTGAGAATCAATCCAGGTTACTAGAACAACATACACTGAATTTCTTCAATAATTTAGATCCCTATGCTTAGGAAAGAAATATATAAATAAAGGCAGAATGAATAATTATTTTGAAACCCAGAGAAATTCTAATATTTACATTTGCCACATATTTGAGATTAAAGTTCAGAGGGAGGTTACACAGAACGTGATGTTTTCCAAATTGACTGATAGAATTGTTGATGCTAGTACTTATCCTGCCAGCCTGAAGCCGTGGTTAAAACTTCCTGGAGATGTTGTTGCAGTGTTGTGTGCTATTGAGTCCACTGTGACCCATACTGGCCAGTGTGATGGGCAATAACTGCCTTGTAGGGAGCAGATCAGCAGATTCTTCTGCAAGCAGCTGCTAAGTTTGAACCATCTACCTTTAGGTTAGCAACGGAGCACTTGATTGTTGCACCAACCCATATGTTTTTCACTTTACCCATTCACCTGAGGTTTTGCTTTTTGTTTTTTTAACATTTGAAAATCTTTGTGACCAAGCATCTGATAAATGATTACAATCTAGTTCAAGGATAGTATTTTTTAATAGTGACTACTCGTTGCTCTCCAGAATGACTGCATTAGAAAAATCCGGCAGATTTTGATAGACATTATTTGAAAACTAAGTGGTTTGGAAGTATAATTTATCTTAGTGTCATCTTCTAATGAACAGAATGATGTTTACATTCTAATAGTGAAGTATATATGCAAAATTCATATCTACACTGAATGTAATTGCTAGCCAGAGTGCACTGGGATGATCCAGGCTCTGTGTAACCAGTTTTAATCATGACTCCAATATAAATTTTGTACATATGGATGATTTGTTTTTGTGTTCATGTTTTTCTTTTGGGGGGGTGTCAAGAAATCTTCAGATTACATTAGTTTCATGATGTAGGATTAAATGCTAGCAGCATAGAATTATGTTTTTATATTGCTCCTCAGTACATAAAACTTGGCATAGTAGAATGATACCTGACATTTTTAGATGTAAAATAATGTCAGTGTAGGCAGGTGAATAGTGCCAACTGGTTTCATTAGTTTTTGTGAGCTGGTTAATTAAGTTTTAAAAAGAATCCTAAACATCTCAGAGAGAATGAATGTTAAATACAGGACTGGTAGTGATTACAGGATTTTTTTTTTCTTTTTAAGAAGTACAATGTAAACTCACTGAATATCTGAAAGAATTGTCTTTGGTTTTACGACATGATAAAATATTTTAAGAGAGCAGACAATATAGATTATGCAGTGATGTATGAAAATATGTTCAATAACAGGTAAATGTTGGGAAGATGGACTCACCCATTGAAAAGTGGAACCTAATAATCGGTAACTTGGCCTTAAAGCAGGTGAGTGATGGACATATTTATAGAATTTGTGTTCACATATCTTTTGTTAGCTGTTCAAGTGACATTTTATTACTATGAAGCTGACTGCTTATTTGAACAACACCAGAAAAATAACTTGAACATTACCTTGAAAAGGGGATGGAATAAACAAACATCCATGACCTGTACAAGTTATTTGTTCTCTAGCTACACATTGGGTTCTTCCAAATGTGACAAAATATAAGAACAATAGTAAATATTTTCTGTCATAAGTGTCTAATTGAGCTTGAATTTGAGCACAAATAAGTATTTAGCATTTTATTACTTAGGTGCTCTTTTTCTACTAAAATAAACCATCTGTTTACTTAACCTGAGTTTTAAAAATACATTGTAGTGAGGTGCTTGTTTAAGCTAACTTCCTTAATCCGTTAGCATTATTATAAGTGAGCACATTAAATTCCTATTATGTATGTACTAAACTCAATTGCATGTAAATTATCTGTAGCTCTTTCTAATCTCGTGTGGTTATCTCCTCTCCCATACCTTGTCCCACATTGCAGAGCACAGCAAGGTTGTAGGCGCCTCGTGCACTTCTCTAGCTCATCTATGCTGACCTCGTGCACTTCTCTAGCTCATCTATGCTGGAGAAGCACCACATTTTCCTATGAGCTCAATGAGGACATGATGTTGAGAATGTGACTGTAGGAAAGGCGAGTTCATACAATGCATTTCAAAGACACACAGGGATTTCTGGAATCTAATTTTTTATAATATCGGTGCACCATTTCTAAAGTCTCAGGGTCGGAAATAAGAAAGCTACATAGATTGAACCACAGTGCTAACATTAACCAGCTATATTACCCCTGTTAATTTATTTACCCTTTCCAGTCTTCATTTTCCTTTTCTTTTAAATAGCAGCATTACATTAGATATTACTATTGCGCTGTCAGGTAAGCATTAGACTAACAACTGCAAAGTTGGTGGTTCAAACCCACCAGCCACTCTGCAGGAGAAAGATAAGGCTATCTTTTCCCACAAAAATTTATTACCTCAAACCCTTATGGGAGTTGGTTTGCCGGGAGTTGGAACTGACTCTTTGGCAGTTGGTTTGGTTGGGATGGCCTTTTTCAGCTTTTAAAATTTCAATCTGTGCACGGGTAATATTCATAATATTTAACAACCATTCTTTTGTCATGAGTTGAATCAGCTTGACCCTTCCACATGTTGGTTGCATATTTGGAGAATATATATACAAATATATCTTCAAAAATATATTTCATTTTATTCTTTAGATATCTTTCATTCTTACTAAGTAATATGAATTGTAGTAAAAATGTTCTTTATGTCATTCTAATAATTTCCACGTCAGCCTTTTCTTTGTCTCCACTCTTCCCTAGTCAAATCCTCTCTTCCTGCTTGTGCTAGGGAGGTGGGAGCCAGAGTAAGATTTGCGGTCCTAGTTGCCATAGCCAGAAGCCTGTGCCCCTGTCTGCCTCACTCACCAAGGATGTATGAAGAACAGTGAACTCCACCCAGGCCAATCAGGAGACAAGTAGTGGCAGTCAGCGAGGGAGCAAGTGGTTCAAGCCAAATTACGATGGACAAAGGCAGGAGGGAAAGGAAAAGGAGGTGTGTGGGCGTGAGTGTGCTCTCCTTGAGGCTTCATCTACTGAAGCGTGTGACGAAGTCAGTGAGCGTGGAAAGAGGGAATGAGGTGGACATGCATATGGCTCTTCTACCTGGAGACCATTTATGAAAGGTAGAGGTGGGGAAAGACACAGGACAGAGCAGCTCGGGCTCAGGCTGTCATTTGCTGGGGTCTCTGTGGTCCCAAGGAGGTACTCTTCTTGTCATGCAGGTTGGCCACCTTGACTGTGGCCTAAGTTGTTAAATGAAGTGAAGTTTCCCAGTCTCATCTGAGAGACCATTACCTGATGGAGACAGATATATAGAGTGCTTGATTTCTGTAGTAAGCTCCTTAGCTTTGCGGGCCGGTGCCCAACCAGGAGAAGACACAGAATCACAGTGTTAGAATTGACATTATTTGAGAGACCTATTATTTCATATGCTGTTGTTAGATGTGATCAGATTGGCTCTGACTCAGCCACACTGCACAACAGAAGAAAACACTACCCAATCCTGCACCATCCTCAAAACCGTTCTCATGTTTGATCCCATTGTTGCATCTACTGTGTTGATCCATCTCTCCCATTCAGGGTTTTCCTCTTTTTCGCTGGCCCTCCAAATTATCAAGCATGATGTCCTTTTCCAAGGGTTGCCTCTTCTGGTAACATGTCTGAAGTATATAAGACCGTAGTTCTCAAAGTAGCATATTTGCTTTTCAACACTTTAAAGAGTTCTGGTGCCACAGATTTATCCAAGATAATATTTAATCTCTTGACTACTGCTTCCATGAGCATTGACTGGATCCACACAAGATGAAATCTTTTCTCTATTTATCATAATGTTACTTATTGGTCCAGTTTAGATTTTGGTTTTCTTTACATTGAGTTGTAATCAATATGAAATCTGCAATTCTTGATATTCAGCAGCGAGTGTTTCAAATCCTCACTTTCAGCAAGCAAGATTGTGTCATCTGTTTATTGAAGGTTCTTAATAAGCCTTTCTCCAATCCTGATGCTGCATTCTTTTTTTAAAAATTGTTTTATTAGGGGCTCATACAACTCTTTGTGTAAAGCACATTTGTACATTCATTGCCCTCATCATTCTTAAAACATTTGCTCTCCACTTAAGCCCCTGGCATCAGGTCCTC